GCAAATAAAACTAGATGGCTTTATGGGAGAGCGTAGGGGAAATAAGAAGTCTGTGAGCTTGTTGGGGGGCGGTGCTAAACCTTGCAAAAACAGGTACAGCTCCTTTAACAAATAATTTAAATGTTATTTTAACTTTTGTCGTTGCAGGTATTGGCAAAGATAGAGTAGATCGAGGGTCAAGATATTAGGCAGAGAATGCTGAACCCAGACCAGAACGTAGGAGGCTCACAAAGTTACAGAAAATGAAGAAAAGAGAAACTTGTGATGGGTCACATAGCGAACTATCTGAATGACGTCACTAAGACACGCCCCCGCCGCCTGTCAACTCCCGCCCACATGTTTCGGACAAACACTGCCGAAATGAATCAAATACCACTATAAACGTATAAACCAGGGGCCACACTTAATAAACGCAAATGACAATCAATCAATACATTTAAATGTTAATGGGAGAATATATTATGCATACACATTGGTAACACACGTGCACGGAGGTTTTCAGAATTATCTGTTCAGGTTTTCATGACAAAAATACTTTTTTAATGCGACTAAAGCGATCGCTTTTTTGAAGTAGGTGAACCAGCCTCACTGTTACTCGCCTGCCACGGGAAAACCTTTGGGAACTAATTTCTTTGCAGTCATTAAATAAACCTTTTGGCATGAATAGTGACTGAAGTTTATTTTGTGTGTTCAGTTGGTACAAAGCAGTATAATAAGCGGACCCCGACGCGCTTCGTCTGTACTTATTTTCCGAAAGTCACGAAGTTGAAAAAATCCCTCTCATCTTTCTTCAGGTGTGAGAATTGTAAACTTTCTGGATTAGGACAAACAATACTAATATGGATTGATGGGGTAAAGGGTATAAAGAGAAAGTATGTGCTAACTACATTCAGAAGAGCTCAGACGGACCTGATCAAGACGGTCCAGCTAAACGTAGCTAGGACTGGATCTGGATGCTCCACAGTTGGTCCAGCAAAGTGTTTTGAAAAAACATGTGTCCTTTTTAACATTTTCATGAGAGAAATTCTGCCGACCACAAGCACCCACCTCTTGCACTTGTCCTGGTCTGGTCCTGGTCTGGTTCGATGGTGTGGTTTAAAGAATGTGTTGAATGTTACTTTCATATAGTCCTTTTCAGAGTATCTGAAATCGCTCCGACAAGCGCCAGAACTGCAGTGTTTTGTTGTCACCATGATTCAATGATTTAGCCCAAATAAATACACACGCGTATGTGGAGAACACAGTAGTACTCAACGGAGTCGGACACAATGTTTGTCCGAAACATGCGCAGTCATCGGAGCTATTTTTAGCACATTTCGGAAACCGGACAGTGCCCTATTCAAACTTTCACTTGTAGAGCAAACCACCATGGCAGAAATGCCATCCCAGTGACATCAGCGTGAAGATTGCATTATTTGTTCAAGCAGCAAAATCATGACGCTGTTAGCTCCTCTCTATTACAGTGTTTTCTTTGCATTTGGACATCCAGTGTTCTAATGTGCAAAGTTTCATCTCACAGTAAACAGCATCAGCATCTTTCATTTTGCATCGCAGAAGAGCAAGGGTGTTTTATGATTTGCTTGGGCAAATTGACAATGCAGCATTGACAGTCTGCTTCGAATGATGCAGAATCTGGTACTCCCAAGAACCCCCTTTGGTCAGGCGTACTACTCTACATGTCCATGCTGGGAAAGGTAGCAAGCAGAGCAAGGATGACATCCATGCGTACACATGGATGGAACACGAGAACAGAAAAGACAGTAATATGACTGCTTCTGCTCTGAACCAGATTTTTTTGTTTTCGGCATCCATTGAATGTTGCACTTGGCAATGTTCAGAAGTTGAGATTATTCAGTGATTCCTGTTGAAAATGTGTCAAATGTTACAATGGTTGACACTATTAAATATACTTCTTTAGGAATGAAACCTCTGTCTTGTTTTTGATGAATACTTGAGCTGCGTTCAGGATCATGCGTTGCGTCGACTTTCAATGCAAATTAATGGTGACGTACGTTCGAGCGTGGAACTGCACCTGCGTCTCAGGATGCACGCACGGACTGCGGGAGGCGCAGGAGCGGAAAATTGACACACGCAGGAGATAAATATTGCTGAGCGTTTCCTCGGGACGCTCGTCCAGCGACCAATCAGAGAGCCACAAAGTGGTCACGGGGACATAAGCGGTCTGAGCGAGAAGACTGAACATACTGTAAACAGCCAAAACAGGAGCTACACCAGGACTAAACCAGGACTAAACCAGGGTTGACAATGGGGGACATACAGTAATGCTGGTGAACATATGTGTTTTCATGCTCCCGGGACTTTATGCAACTGTTTCAAGCGTGTTCGCCGGTGGGGAAGTACTGTTTAATAATAAAATAAACGTATGGCGCACCTCCGTGAACGCATTCTGCTGTTATATTAAGTCTCTGGAAGGTCTCTGGACACAGACACGCTGCAGAGCTGCATTATTGGAGAAGAACTTTACATGAAAACCCACTAGCTTACTCCGTTAGCATCAAAGTCCGCCCGCTACTTCCAGCACTTCCGGCGGGCGCCACTGCAGCCCAGGACTTCTGGTGTGAAGACCCCTGCGTCTGAATGGTTCCAGCGTCGGCGGTGTGAACGCACCATTAGGTGTAGTGTTGGTCATTTGTGGTGGTACTTGGTGCAAAAAGTTTGAGAACAACTGTGCTCAGCAATTGTAATTCCAGCCAAGGCTAAAACGACACATTGTGCATGTTTATACTGATTCAACAAAATCACAATGACTTTTCAGTCTAAATTTATTTTGTAAAATAAAAAGGTCGGTTGCTTTATGTTAGATTTGACGCAGTAAATATATGTAAATTTGAACAGTATAAATAATAGTTTAGAAAAGGACAGGACCATAATGTCTTCGCGCTGCCATATGCATCTTACTACTTACGTCATTTCCAGACTGTTTTCCCTTTCCAGCCAAAATCACCGTGGGAAAAATGTATGTAGATAATAATAATAGTATTCATATTGACACAAGATCATCAGCTAGGCTACCATCGTCAATGTAAAATCTTCAATTTTGGGACATGATAGAAAGATAAAATTATAATCATTGCCTTACATTTATCTGTTTGACTATTATTATCAATATCATTGGCATCATATTAAATACATGTACAGTGCCTTGCAAAAGTCTTCACCCCCTTGGCATTTTGTGTGTTTTGTTGCCTCACAACCTGGAATTAACATGGATTGTTTGAGGATTTGCATCAGTTAATTTAAGGCAAGGCAGGGCAAGGCAAGTTTATTTATATAGCACAATTCATACACAAGGCAATTCAAAGTGCTGAACAAAACAAGAAAGCATTAAAATCATAAATTATCACAGAACATTAAAAAGAAAGATAAAAATATAAAATCCCTCAGTTGTATGCACAGTTAAACAGAACTGTCTTTAACCTGGTTTTAAACATTGTCAGAGAGGAGGCCTGTCTCACATCTTCAGGAAGACTGTTCCAGATTTTAGCAGCATGAATCTGAAAAGCAGCCTCCCCATGTTTAGTTCTGACTCTGGGCACTAACAGGAGTCCAGTCCCTGTGCTCCTCAGAGTCCCAGCAGGAGACCAGTCCCTGTGCTCCTCAGAGTCCCAGCAGGAGTCCAGTCCCTGTGCTCCTCAGAGTCCCAGCAGGAGTCCAGTCCCTGTGCTCCTCAGAGTCCCAGCAGGAGTCCAGTCCCTGTGCTCCTCAGAGTCCCAGCAGGAGTCCAGTCCCTGTGCTCCTCAGAGTCCCAGCAGGAGTCCAGTCCCTGTGCTCCTCAGAGTCCCAGCAGGAGTCCAGTCCCTGTGCTCCTCAGAGTCCCAGCAGGAGTCCAGTCCCTGTGCTCCTCAGAGTCCCAGCAGGAGTCCAGTCCCTGTGCTCCTCAGAGTCCCAGCAGGAGTCCAGTCCCTGTGCTCCTCAGAGTCCGGGCTGGTTCATATGGGACTAACATGTCACTAATATATTTTGGTGCGAGGCCATGGAGAGACTTGTACACAAGCAGAGCTGTTTTAATTAATTTACAGAACATGCCACAACTTTGAAGATGTTGTCTTTTTTTTTTTTATTGTGAAGCAAACAACAAATAGGACAAAATAACAGAAAAGGTCAATGTGCATAACTATTCACCCCCCTAAGGTCAATACTTTGTAGAGCCACATTTGCGGCAATCACAGCTCCAAGTCGCTTTGGATAAGTCTCTATGAGCTTGCCACATCTTACCACTGGGATGTTGGCCCATTCCTCCTTGCAAAACTGCTCCAGCTCCTTCAAGTTGAATGGTTTGCGCTTGTGAACAACAATCTTTAAAGGAATAGGCCCCGTGTTTACATACTGACACATGTTCTTACCTTCGACTAGTTGATATGTACCTGTGTGATCTTTGTCATGCAAACGCAGCACAAACGCAGCCTCTTCCAAATCAGCTCCCGTTAGAAGCTACCAAACTCTTCCACGTGTTGCCTATTTAAACACAGTTACGTGACGTGTTACTCTACAAAGTATAGTAACACAGAAAATGTAACATGTCCATTTTCTCAGCAGATAAAAAGAGGTACTATATTGTGAGGCGTAATAATACGAGGAGCGCTACGTCTGCGCACTAACTCCTATAGACTTCTCTCCTGCTCCTGTACGTACTACAAGTCACGCTGCTACAATATTTCTGCAAATGTCTTTTTGCATAATAATTATTGATAGAAACCGCTAGGGGTGAAACTATCTGTCAAAATGAGTTTTATTTAACACAGAAAAAGACCACAATATACCAACAAAATAATATTAGGTCCATTTAAGTCAAAGAACTGTCTGTCCTGTCCAAAGGTTCCAAATTTAGCAGAACGGTGCTGCTTTCATAAAACAATTTGTACATTTGAAATTTCACATGTTCTTTGGACTCAGGCGGCACCTTTTGCAGGAGAGGGAAGTATAGTTAATTAGTTCTGGACCGGTGCGGCTGCTGATTTTGGCCCGAACCGTCACCAGCATCATCTGTTGGCGGCTCTACCGACATGGGCCTTCAAAGAACACAGGGCAATCACAGTGTTAATAACTGGAACATCTTTCTCCAAAAAATGAGCAAATAAGAGCTGTTTTAAAGGCAGAGTGTGCAGACATTAATATGTAAACAACTTTTAAGTTATCTGTTTGTGTAACAATGAACTCAAACATTAGTTATCAGTGAAATTATTATTTATTTGAAGCAAACTCATTTCATATCTGAACACAAACACCATAGATTTAGTACAAATTCCTACATTTACCAACAAATATCTCTGAAGATAAATCTGTGACTGTAAAGATGCATTTAGTATATTTCTGCTGCCATCTTGTGGCAACCATTGCGTGAATATGTTCAGTACTATCATTGCATATGGTATTTCAGTAGTATTTTCTCTAATCGAAGAAAGAAAAGATGCATTGTCTCAGGCCAAAGCACAAATGCTCCTTTCCACCTGTAGTGCCTTGACATCTTGTAGTTTCTCTGTACATTTGTGGTCTACAATGATATAACAGCCTTTGGATAAGTTTGGCATATTAGGCAGTAACACTTAGTTTATATGCACAGTCCTGTAATAAGAATCCCAATAACATAAAATCTGAAAAGAAAACTGCCACAGAAGCAGCCGGTGAACGAGTTCTACTTACTCATCGATCAAAATGCTCGAAAGTAGGCGTGGCTTAGACATTTTTCACAATAAAAGGCCACTGCCTCTGCGGGATCTCTAAAGTCCGAAATAAAGACTCCTTTCTCGTAGTGTTTCTGACGAAGGATTGCTATCACATATAATCAACGTAAGGTCAGATGTGTTTTTGCTGTTCCAAATACTGTCTGTGAATCGCGAACTGTTTCCCATGACACTGACCTGAACAGCTGCAAGGTGCGCAGTTTAACCTGGAGCTGCGGTGGGACTGTGGTGTTTCCATTCAATAAACACGCTCACAACAGCGATTTACAAACACATGACCAGCGCCTGCTCTCACACATTGTTCTCATAGACTACAGTCATAAGAAATATTGATGTAGAAAAAGAAATCACATGTGGAATTAATGCTGTATGTGATCGCTATCACAGACCAGGAAAAGGACGTTCGGGTTGTATGAGTGAGCAATAATGTGACTAATAATGAGCATGCAACTGTGACAGGACGAACATGTGTGTGTGTAAAGCATGACAGCAGCAAGAGGGTGTCACTGAAAGATGACAGCAGACGGCCAAACACATGTTGTATTTGTAGAGTGGGCTAGATCCACCTGCGTGTCCGCGTACTCTCACCCCGCTTCACCTGTCTCCAAAGCATTGTAACGCAATGTCACTGGCAATAGAATGGTACACCCTGTTCCTGTTACCTGTGTCGTGTAGCCACAGACACACACACATAGATCGTACGCTCAGACGCGGTTTGGTACGTGGTGCAGCGACAGATTAACCTGCTGACGCATCTCCAGATCCTCTTTCAGAGACGTCTCTGCAGCATTTCTCTGTCACTGCGCTGCGGACATGTGTTTTACGCGTTGCTCGGTCACAATTCCATGTCACAATTGTTCCCTTGTGTGCAGTATGACTGGACCAACATAAACATTTGTAATGAGCACAGCACAACACTGACATGAGCAGCTGCAAGGTTTGCAGGTGTACCACATCCACCCCAAATATACATCATTTTGGCCATCTGCTACTGTCAGCGAAATGTCCAGCAATCAATATTAATTTGTATGCATATTCATTATCATTCATGGGCATTGGTCTTTCTCTATGAACCAATACACATGGGTTCAATATTTCCTGGGTCTTTGCTGTTGATTCTCCAATCTGTGTTGGTGATTTCAACGTGTCTGTGTGGTCCTCTGAGATGACCGCTGCACAGTCCATCTCACACAAGGCACAAATCTTTACATGAAACACACACAAAGATTAAACACCAGGCAAATCACACAGGCAATGAAATAAACAAAACATCACACAAGGGACTCTTAATAACCACAGTGCACAACAAAATGGAGATACAATTCCTCGCACACACAACCCTCATCATAACTTGCATTTGAACATCGTCTTCCCCCACATGTTTAGTCTTGACTGTGGGCGCCAGCAGAGTCAGACTGATCATATGGCACCAACATGTCACAGATGTACCCTGGTGCGGGGCCGTGTTGAATTAGGCCTCCAACTCCATGAATCCAACTCCATGAATCCAATTAAGTCCAATAGCTGGGAGCTAAGGTGAGCCCATAGTCTCACATTACTACTCAGGAATAATATACTAATAGACATGTATACTCAATGAGTGGATGTCATGTTCTGGGCTGTTATTGCCTGATCATTTTACCAGTTATGTGCACATTGACATGTTTGTACATTTAGGAATACACACAAAAGGTGAACAAGAATGTTTACAAAGTGTCCCTCTAGCTTGCAGTACTCAACACCCCAAGTCAACCCTTGCCATGCTCAACCAATCCATCACAATCACATGAAAGTGTCTTCAATTAAGATATGTAAAAAACGAACACACAAATGGCTGCATGGTTTAAATTCTTTATTATTGGCAATATGGACAGCTATAGGGCTCCTCGACTGGTGGGAACCCCATACATTTGAGGTGGTACCAACGACCACATAGACCGCATGCAATCTGCAAAGATTAATGTTAGTGTTCAGTAAACATTAATGTCATCTTAAAAAAACTCACCCAGGGATCACTATCAGGCCCACTGTCATCCTCCTCACACTCGTCCTTCATCCCTGTGCAGCGGAACCCGCAATTAGAGCAGTACTCTGATAGGTCGTCTGAAATCCAATTAGTTATGTGTCATTCTCACACAATCCTTACAGTGTGTCAATTAACTCTGTGGTACCAGTGTTTTGAAGGAGGGTGCGTGCTATGTGCAGCCTGTGCCGATTCACCCCTGCTGCATCCGACTGGAAAGCCACCTCCTCCCCTAAAAGGATCTTCTCAGCCAGCTGTGAAAAAGGTAAGTTGTCATTGGTGGACTGCATTGAAAATGTCAATACATACCTTGCAAACAAATACACCACATGAGGTGCCATCACTCTGTCGGGGGTGGTTTATGGTGTAACACCGCCAGGTGCTGAGGTCCAGTGAAGGCCTGCACCTTTGCACCAGCTCCCTGCAAAAATATTCATTCACTTAAAGGCCACAGTGGGATTGAAGTTTGTGAACATTTTTTTGTTCAACAAACAATGAACATTTTGATACTTTAACAACCATTTCTAATCAAGATTTGGATAGCCTACCTTCTTAACATTGACCCTACTCTTGCCCTCCCAAATTGGGGTCAGGGTGAGCGAGTCTATCAAGCAACCGTCCACCCTTCTGGCCAGCAAGTGCAAGTAGGAGTTCACGACCTGCAAAGCACAGCGTATGAGGACATTAAGTCATTAGTACACAATAGGACACAGTAGGCCATACCTCACTCTCCACCTGTTTCCCAGGGCCAAGGTTCATAAAATCGCCTGTGAAGAGCCTAAATGGCCCTATTCTACTCCACAGCACATGCCCTGGGCTCACCCCTGCTGCAATCAGCTGTAGGACTGGAAACCAGCAGAATTGACAGAGGTTTGAAGGAAATGTGATATTTATGCATTACTTACAGCCCTCCATAGCCTCAGGAGTGGGTGCCCTCAAGTATGGAGACTCGCTGTCCTGTGGAAGTGGAGCACCCAGGTCCACCTTTTGGGGAGCGCTCAGGTCCACCTTTTGGGGAGCGCTCAGGTCCACCTTTTGGGGAGCGCTGAGGTCCAGCGGAGGTGGAGTGCCCAGGTCTATTGGTGGTGGAGTAACCAGGCGCAGTGGAGGTGGAGTACCCAGGTCCAGCTTCTGGGGACAGCTCAGGTCCAGTGGAGGTAGCTTGGCCACGTTCAGAGAAGGTGGGGGGACCACTTCCATCTCTCCTACATCCCCCTTCAGATTCGCTGGAATCCTAGAGCAAGGAACTATATATGGAGTCATATGGTCGATGCTCATGCACTTTCGTACAGTGCCATCGGGGGCCTTCAGGCTGGCAGTCTTCCCATCCAAGCTGAAGATGCGGAAAGGCCCCAGCATGTCCCTCTCCAGTTTGCCGCCTTTCCTCTGCTCTTGGCGTATGTTTTTGACCAGCACAAAGTCCCCCACACGGAACTGGTCATCCTGGCCAATGAGTTCCCTCTTTTGCTGCCTCTTCTGCTGACTCTTGCTGTTATTGGCTAAGGCTACACCCTGCTTAACCCCTAGGGTCTGCAGGCCAGGCCACAGCTCCTCTGCCTCCGCCAAGGCATTTACGCGGCTCTCCTCCACCTGTTTGATACAAAAGCAAAACGGTAGAAACCAAGTACATACAATGAGGGCAACAGTGACTTTACCTCGTACTGCTCTGGAATTCCAGAAGGGTACCTGGCCTCCCTCCCATATAGAAGGTAATACGGACTATGCCGAGTGGTCAGCTGCATTTTTGTCCCTCAATGCGAACATTGTGGCCTGGAGGTACTCCTCCCATGTATTAGGATGGTCCCCCACCATTGTATTAAGGCACCTCCGTAAAACAGATAAATGCATTATTAGTCTCAATCATGAGATGGAGAAGGATGACGTGCAAAGCATTAAGGCACTGATACAACATACAATTATGAATATCTACAGAGAATAAAGACGATTTCTCACCTCTGAATGGTCCCATTCATCTTCTCCACCAAGCCATTGGTGGAAGGGTGGTAGGGGGAGCACATACTGCGCTTCACCCCTAGTTTTCCGCATACTGCTGTATTCAACTGAATTCACATGCAATTATGACACAATCTTGAATATGAACAGGCTTATTCTTCCCTCGGCCTACCTTATTGATGAATTCAGTGCCACGGTCTGTAAGGATCCTCTTTGGGGCGCCGAAGCGATAAAAAAACTCCAGAATGCAGCCAGTCACCTCTTCTGCAGTTTTGGTCTTCAGAGGAAAGGCCTCCACCCACTTTGTATAATAATCAATCATCACGCAGATGTATTGGTGGCCTTGGGGAGTCGGGTTTAGCTTCCCCACCAGGTCCATCCCGACCAATTCAAATGGCTCAGTGACCTATAGATACAACATGATCGACATGATCTGAAACATGCAAAACTGAGAAAGACATTGGATTCATTACCTCAATGGGCTGGTACTGAACTTTGGCCTTCAAATTGGCTCTTCTCCTTTGGCACTCAGTGCACTGCTTCACCTTGTATTAGTAAAAATAGCAATATGAGAAATCCACATAAATATTTGACATTGTTGATGACAATACCACAAAGTGCATAATATTGACAGTCAATAGGCCCAAACATACCCATGACTGAATGTCTCTCTCCATTTTAGGCCAGTAATAACGTGCTATGATGGCCCGGTGGGTTTTTTCCCATCCACAGTGGCCTCCAATAGGGCTGGCATGAAATTCGATGAATAGGTCATTTGCCTCTTTGGCCGAGCACACCACCTTTGCAAAGTGTGCATCCCCCCTCCTCCGTCTGCATAGGTAGTGCAGTGCCCCATCTTGTACACAGAAACATAGCAATTATTAATTTTTCCTACAACCCACATAGTAAATATCTTTGACACTCACCTTTCATTGTATAGTTTGTAGCCCGTCATCTGATAGTAGACTTTTTAATGTCCGAAGCAAAAGGGGGTAGGCGGCCATGCACCAACCAATCCACAAGCTGATCAAACTTTGTACGTTCCATAATGATAAACTAACACTGGCTCACTGGCTCAATCAAATAAACTAACACTGGCTCAATGAAATAAACTAACACTGGCTCAATCAAATAAACTAACACTGGCTCACTGGCTCAATCAAATAAACTAACACTGGCTCACTGGCTCAATCAAATAAACTAACACTGGCTCACTGGTTCAATCTAAATGTACTATTGCTAAACTGCTGACTCTCTAGGAACTACCGTGATCACAAGTGGATGGGAGAATGATAAATAGCTATGGTGACCTTTTATACTCTAACAAAGTAATATCACACCTGAATCTAATCAAAAGAGCCATCCTCCTTGACTCACCACCTGCAGGGGGACCAGTGAGGGGCTGATGCTCTGTGAAATGGGTGGCACCCCCCAGAATTGGATGAACACCTTGCATGCCATAGGCAGCTGTTTGTCTGAGACCTGTGATTTACTTCAAACTTCCATCTACTTGATTGGGGATTACAGGAGAATAACGAATTCTACAAACAAACCTTTTTGTCATGATGAGCGTTGTCCGTCCAGTCTTTTGGAACATGGGTTCAGATTTCACGTATTCATAGTTTTAAGACTTTTTTCTTCCGCCTCCGTCGAGCAAAGACGTGTCTCAGACCGCTCCTGCTTCTGACTGCTTGCTATCTCCTGTTTTGTCTTTTTCCTGGAGTTTTGCCACAGACAACTTTAACAAGAATGGAAATGATTAACTGGTCCCTCAACGCAATTGATTCTATCTTTTCAACACGTAAGCGTGGGTCTGGAGAGCCCGTGTGCCCGGACGGGACTTCACCAGCGGGTTATACGCTTGACAGCTGGAACAAGTTTCAGCCCCTCTGTCTGTCGACCCTGTCTATTGAAGATTCGGAAGACGTATATATCTTTGGCATTTTGGTGGTGGGGATCCTCCTGTTTGGGTTTGGAGCGGTCCTCTTCTATCGCAAATTCGGAGGCATGGCAGTTCGCAAGATTCACGACCTGCTGGCCGACAAAATTGATGGGACAAAAAGCCGCGTCGAGAGTGCCGTGTCTGGACAAAGGAGAGTTGATGGATGTACAAGGAGCTAAGCCGCGGAGGTCTGAGGGCGCCGCAATTCGGATTAATTGGATTTAATAGAATATCTGCTTGCTTTTGATGCTACATTGCATATAATATTGTCCCCCTCAGGCATGTGTTTTCTCCTGCTGTGTCTTCTCTCCACTCTTATCTCACATTCCTCGGCCAAGATAATAACAAGGTCCCAATCTACAACAACTCACACTATTTCAGTTAAAGGAGCAATATGTAAAAATCTGGCCAAAAGTGGTACTGCAGTCACAGTCAATATTTTGTAGTCCTCTCCCACTCTCCCTGTCTCAGGTTGCCAGATTCACACCAAATCCAGCAGCAAAACACAGGGAATTATTTTATCAGTTGTTTGTCCGTCTCCATTCACATTGCCATGACAGCCGTGCTAATGCTGAATGAATGTTTTGATTCATGTTTTTTTATTATTATAATTTGGACATTTGAGATAAAAAACAAAAAACAAAATAAAAGCAATGTAATTATACATAGTTTATGCAAAATAAATAAGAAATGACAGCGGTGAGGCTGGGTGAAAGCACTGACTTCAGCCAAGCAGATGAACAATATACCATTCATACAGTATAAATCAAGTGACATTTTGTTTGGCTACAGCAAAATTATGTTTATGCCCGCATTGTTTGTTCATCACAAAACGCAAAACTATGATTTAATGGTCTTACCTTATAAATGACCTGGCACAGTCCACTTCGTTCAACCACTTCTCTTGTTTAAATCCAGTTTAAGTGGTTTTTGATCGAGATAATGTAATACCTCCATTTGGAAATAGGTCCAATGAGTTTTTAAAAAGTAAAACAAAACGCGTGTGTCCTCCTAAAACGCCTCTGTTTTTGCGCAGCCGCAGCATCCAATTTCTAAAATCAACCGACCTTACACTTCACCACTCTTTCCTATCATTCCTATAGTCCATTGAAAATACCCTATGTGCAATTTTTAGATTAAGAGTAAAAAAATGTGTTAAATTATGTTATCCAAACCTGTTTGCGTCCCCTTATCAAATAAGACCAGGAAGATAACAAGGAGCTTATCCATGGACGTTGTATGCAGCCGACTCTGCTCTCACATGCCAACCCTGAGGCCCTCACGTTGATACAAGCTGTGGTTGAGCGCGATTTTAAAGACCCATATTCTGTTTCAAAAACACAAATTTATGAGCCATCCTCCTCAACTGTAGACATGTAAATGTAAAGGAAATATGATTTACATCAGCCAATAATGCTGCGCAGGTTTTCTCATCCTCCCTTCTCTCAGTCAACGACGTTTCATTGTGCGTCTTGAGTAACGCGCAGTAACGGGAAATGTCGGAAATATAACGAGCGTTATAGTTACCAGTCAAATAAATAGTTAGATTACTCGTTTACAGAACAAAATAACGGCAATTAGTAACCCTTTATTCCCATCACTGGTAATGAAACGTGGCTATGAAAAAAATGGCCCGGTGGTTTTTTCCCATCCACAGTGCCTCCAAATTTAGGGCCTGGCATGAAATTTGATGAAAAAGTCCATTTGCCTCTTTGGCCCGAGCACACCACCTTTGCAAAAGTGTGCATCCCCCTCCTCCGTCTGCATAGGTAGTCAGTGGCCCCACTTTGAACACAGAAACAATACAATTATTTAATTTTTTCCTACAACCCACATAGTAACATATCTTTGACCACTCACCCTTCATTGTAAGTTTTGTAGCCCCTCCACTGATAGTAGACTTTTAATGTCCGAAGCAAAAGGGGGTAGGCGCCAGCACCAACCACTCCACAAGCTGATTCAATACTTTGGTACGTTCCATAATGATAAACTACACGGCTCACCTGGCTCAATCAAATAAACTAACACTTGGCTCAATCAAATAAACTAACTCTGGCTCAACCTGCTCAATCAACTATACAACACTTGGCTCACTGGCTCAATCTTAAATGTAACTAATTGCAAACTGCTGACTCTCTCGGAACTCCGTGATCACAATGGATGGAGAATTGATAAATAGCTATGTGAGCCTTTTATACTCTAACTAATAATATCACACCTGAATCTTAATCAAAAGAGCCATCCTCCTTAGACTCACCAACTGCAGGGGACCATGAGGGCTGAATGGCTCTTGAAAATGGGTGGCACCCACCAGATTGATGAAACACCTGCTGCCATACGCATGCTGTTTGTCTGAGACCTGTGATTTACTTCAAACGTTCCATCCTACTTGAATTGGGGATTACAGGAGAATAACGAATGCTACCAAACAAACCTTTTTGTCCATGGATGACGTTTTCCGTCCCATTCCTTTTGGATACATCGGTTTCAGATTTTCACATATTCATAGTTATTTAAGACTTTTTTCTTCCGCCTCCTCGAGCAAAGACTGTCACAGACCGCTCCTGCCTTCTGACTGCTTGCTATCTCCTGTTTTTTCTTTTTCCTGGAGTTTTGCCACAGACAACTTTAACAAGAATGGAAATGATTAACTGGTCCCTCAACGCAATAGATTTCTATCTTTTCACACGTAAGCGTGGTCCCTGGAGAGCCCGTGTGCCCACGGACGGGACTTAACCACGGGTTTATACGCTTGACAGCTGGAACAAGTATTCAAGCCCCTCTGTACTGTCGACCCTGTCCTATTGAAGATTCGGAAGACGTATATATCATTGGCAATTTTGGTGG